TCTACCTTCCTCCCTCCTCCTCTACCTCCTGTCCTCCTCCCCCCCCCGCCCGCAATGTATTGCAATGCGATGTGCTGCAAATGCAACGCAGCGCAATGCAACGCAACGCAATGCAATGCAGTGTACTGCACTGTAAATGCGACGCCACGCAACGCAATGCAACGCAACTCATTACAGTGCGCCCGCTCGCCCGCCCGCCCGCTCGCCCCTCCGCTCGCGCCTTCCGTTCGTTCCCTTCCGTTTCATGCCGTTCCACTCCATCCGCTCTTCCCTTGCATCCCGTTCCGCCCTATGCCGTTCCATTCCCACGTTCTTGCTTTCACCCGCCCAGCGGTCATTCCTAGGCCGAGGGAGTTTCGTCCAGGCCCAGTTGTGCGGGACATCCTCACGGAGGCATTGGGAAGGGTTGGTTGTTTGGTTGGTTGGCTGGTTGGTTGGCTCCCAGGTGAGTTGGCGTCCAGAGGCCAATTCTGGCACCACTGATCGCGCCTAAGGGGCCAGGAGTATTTTTGTTGACTGATTATGGATCTTTTGACCCGTATTTTTGAGACATGCTTGACCTGAAATACCAGAATTTGTTAGACCCGCCACCCCAGGGCTGAGGGCTGCGGGGTGGGGGAGGGGGGGCAACTCATGTGAGGCCTTTGTAAGATCGATAAGGGACTGTGATGCTTGGTGAGTCGGCCACGCGCAGCAGGGGGTCAGGGGGAGGGGGGAAGGCTTCTTGGAAGCACCCCTGCTTCTTAGAAGGCGCGGGCCTTGTCTGTAGATGTAGGGCCCCGCGCCTGCTAAGAAACAGCCTCCTTCCAAGAAGCTTTCCCTCCTGCCCCTACTCCCCACTGCGAACCGCCAACATCTGTAAGAACAATTGTTAACAAGTCCGTTATGCTTGCTTGAGGTGCCATAGGGCCAGATGGGGCCAGATTGAGCTTGACTGCGCGGGATTGCAACGGAGAGTGTCGGATTGTGCCAGGGAGCTACCACGCAAATGCAAGAGGGCCGATGTTGAATTGACGCTCCCAGGGGAGCTGCCTCTCAAGCTGGGGGATCGGACGACGACGACGACGACGGACGACGACGACGACGGCGACGACGACGACGGCGACGACGACGACGACAAGGGGGGAACACGGGCCAGCAAGCTGGGGGCTCGGACGACGACGACGACGACGACGACGACTGCGACGACGACGACGACGGCGACGACGACGACGACGACGACGGCGACGACGACGGCGACGACGACGACGGCGACGACGACGACGAAAAGGGAGGAACACGGGCGAGCAAGCTGGGGGCTCGGACGACGACGACGATGACGACGACGACGACGACGACGACGACGGCGACGACGGCGGCGACGACGACGACGACGGCGACGACGACGGCGACGACGACGACGCCGACGACGACGACGACGAAAAGGGGGGAACACGGGCGAGCAAGCTGGGGGCTCGGGCGACGACGACGACGACGACGACGGCGACGACGACTGCGACGACGACGACGACGACGACGGCGACGGCGACGACGGCGACGACGACGGCGACGACGACGACGACGACGAAAAGGGAAAAACGGGCGAGCACGCTCCTGGGGGCGTCATGGGGAGGGGGGGGACCGCGGGCCTCGCCGCCTCAGAAGTGCTCGGCTTCCCGGCCGCCGCGCCGGAGGAGTTTCTGCTCGGGGGGGGGGGGAGCGGCCAAGAGGGGGGTTTTTCTACGACAAAACTTCATGAAACACACGAATAGCGTTATGAATGGATTCCCTCGGCGGCGTCAGCTTGGGCGGAAAAGCTGGTGCCACTCACGCTTTCCAGACACGGCAGCGTCTTTGGCCAAACGCTGCAATGAGCGCTGAAACCCCTTCACAGACCTAGCACGCACCACCGCGCTAGGTAAACGATTGAATATTGGAATCAAACCAAAAAATGACCGGTGAAGCATTCGAGGATGACCAGGGGGGGGGATATCATGGCGTGGGCCATGATATTTCCCAAGATTCCATGGCTCCTCTTCTTATCTCATTGCGTCCCTGGCCCCCCCGCTGGGCCGCGCACGTGCCGCCGGTCATGAGTTGCACTCCCCCCCCTCTTGGACGCCCCCCTCTTGGCCGCCCCCGAGGGGGGGGGGGGGTCGGTGCAGAAGTGGCCGCGCGACTGCTTCGAGGCGTTTTCGGGCAGCTCTGATAGCCGAGCGGGTTTCTTTATCGCTTGGGGCACAGTTGGCATCATGGCCTCCGGCCCCACCTCTCCCCCCTCCCGCTATAACGTAACGCCCCTCCTCCCCCAGTGCGCTCTCGGCACTGCCGCCGTGCGCACGGCGGGGGGGAGGCGTTGCATTATCGGAGCTTGGGGGGTGAGTCCGACGTGAAACGGAGACCCCCCCTACCGGGAAATCGATTTCGGTTTCGGGTTCGTGTCTTGCGTGCCGTGCGTGCGTGCGTGCGGGCGAGGCGAAGCTGCGTGGGCGGGCGAGAGGAAATCTTCCTGTCGCTGGGCCGCGGCCGGACCCAATGTTTATCCTCCAGCGGCCGGTGGCCCGCGGTGTCCCGCCTGTGTCCCGCTGGTGTCCCGAAATCCTCCTGTGGCCGGGCCGTGGCCGGACCAACTGTTTCTCCTCCGGCGGCCGGTGGCCCGCGGTGTCCCGCCGGTGTCCCGTGGTGTCCCGTTGAGTGAGATCGATAGTGAGGTCGATAGTGAGATCGATAGTGAGATCGATGTGGTGCCCCAAGGTGTCCCGTGGTGTCCCAAAAAGTGAGATCGATAGTGAGATCGATAGTGAGATCGACAGGTGTCCCGTGGTGTCCCGTCGTGTCCCGTGGTGTCCCGTTGAGTGAGATCGATAGTGAGATCGATTGAGATCGATGTGGTGTCCCGAGGTGTCTCGTTGTGTCCCGGGGTGTCCCGTTGAGTGACATCGATAGTGAGATCGATAGTGAGACCGATAGTGAGATCGAGAGGTGTCCCGCGGGGTCCCGTGGTGGCCCGTGGCCCGTGGTGGCCCGTGGTGGCCCGTGGTGTCCCGTTGAGTGATATCGATAGTGAGATCGATAGTGAGGTCGATAGTGAGATCGATAGTGAGATCGATGTGGTGCCCCAAGGTGTCCCGTGGTGTCCCAAAAAGTGAGATCGATAGTGAGATCGATAGTGAGATCGACAGGTGTCCCGTGGTGTCCCGTCGTGTCCCGTGGTGTCCCGTTGAGTGAGATCGATAGTGAGATCGATTGAGATCGATGTGGTGTCCCGAGGTGTCTCGTTGTGTCCCGGGGTGTCCCGTTGAGTGACATCGATAGTGAGATCGATAGTGAGACCGATAGTGAGATCGAGAGGTGTGTCCCGTGGTGGCCCGTGGTGGCCCGTGGTGGCCCGTGTCCCCCCGGTGAGTCCATCGATAGTGAGATCGATAGTGAGATCGACATCGAGTATCGTGAGATCGAGATGAGTGCATCGATAGTAGTGAGATCGAGAGTGGCCCGTGGTGGCCCGTGGTGGTGTCCCGATATCGATAGTGAGATCGATAGTGAGGTCGATAGTGAGATCGATAGTGAGATCGATGTGGTGCCCCAAGGTGTCCCGTGGTGTCCCAAAAAGTGAGATCGATAGTGAGATCGATGGTGAGATCGACAGGTGTCCCGTGGTGTCCCGTCGTGTCCCGTGGTGTCCCGTTGAGTGAGATCGATAGTGAGATCGATTGAGATCGATGTGGTGTCCCGAGGTGTCTCGTTGTGTCCCGGGGTGTCCCGTTGAGTGACATCGATAGTGAGATCGATAGTGAGACCGATAGTGAGATCGAGAGGTGTCCCGCGGGGTCCCGTGGTGGCCCGTGGTGGCCCGTGGTGGCCCGTGGTGGCCCGTGGTGTCCCGTTGAGTGATATCGATAGTGAGATCGATAGTGAGGTCGATAGTGAGATCGATAGTGAGATCGATGTGGTGCCCCAAGGTGTCCCGTGGTGTCCCAAAAAGTGAGATCGATAGTGAGATCGATAGTGAGATCGACAGGTGTCCCGTGGTGTCCCGTCGTGTCCCGTGGTGTCCCAAAAAGTGAGATCGATAGTGAGATCGATAGTGAGATCGACAGGTGTCCCGTGGTGGCCCGTCGTGTCCCGTGGTGTCCCGTTGAGTGAGATCGATAGTGAGATCGATTGAGATCGATGTGGTGTCCCGAGGTGTCTCGTTGTGTCCCGGGGTGTCCCGTTGAGTGAGATCGATAGTGAGATCGATAGTGAGACCGATAGTGAGATCGAGAGGTGTCCCGCGGGGTCCCGTGGTGTCCCGTGGTGTCCCGTGGTGGCCCGTGGTGGCCCGTGGTGTCCCGTTGAGTGATATCGATAGTGAGATCGACAAGTGTTCTGTGGTGTCCTGTGGTGTCCCGTGGTGCCCCGTGGTGTCTTGTTGAGTGAGATCGATCGTGAGATCGATTGAGTCAGATGTTGGTCCCCCCCCATCTCCCCCCCCCACACAACCTCCTTATCACCCGAAGGGTGGGTGGTCGTATAGGTCCCCCCCTTGGCCCCAGCCCCCCCCCTATAGTGCCCATTCTCTCCGAACAGAAAGAAACGCGCTCGACCCGACGCCAGACGGTGAGAGCCGAGTTCCTCGCTGCGCGGCCCCAGAGGTCGCGACCCTTCTACGAGGCAGATTGGTTGTGGCCCTTGGGCCACATCACGGGCCCGGGAGGCCGACATTCGGGAGGAAAAGAAACACACAGACACAATTAATCCTCGATTTCCCCGCAAAAATATATGAAAACATTGGCAGTGGGGGGGAAGACAAAAACCCAGAAACTATGGGAAAATATGGGGGATCTGTTTATTTGTGTGTATTTATTTGTGTGTCCCAGGGCCCCTTCAGACATCGAGAGAGAGAGAGAGAGAGCCTTGAAGCAGTGGGTGGTAGCATCGGGGATTTGGGAACTGCCTCGCGCTGGGCGAGCAGCACATCAGGAGGAGGCCAAGGTACCCGGCACACACGCCGGCCGCGGCGCAGCGCGCGGGCGGAGATATATTTTGCTGCCGCGCACGCCTTCCGCTCGGACGCTCCTCGGAGGTCGCAGGCGCAGCATGGGCCCTCGGAGAAGCGTGGTCGACAACATGGAGATATGTGGCGAGATCGCCGAGTACCTGGACATGGTCACGCTTACCAGGCAGGGTTCATTTCGACCCGACCGATCCGATTCGGTGTCGTTTTCTGGCCGGCGCGGTCGGCTTTGATTCGATGTTCGACGATCAGCTGCTGCCCGAGACTCAACCCTCCTCCATCAGCTGTCATCCATCCTCCTCGTCCCAAGGATCCCTGCTTCCTCCTTATCCGCGCCCGCCTACACCATGTCCCAATGAGCCCTGCCCCCTCCCCCTTCTGTCCGTTCTCCCTTTATTGCGAAGGCCTTACGGCCGGTGCCGCCGACCCTGAATGGCGACGACGACTACGACGACGAGCGCTCTTGGGGGCCTCTTGGGGGCAGTTTGTGGGCCTCTGGGGAAGCTCTGAGGGGCCGCTCGGAAGCCTCGTGGGGGCCTCTTGGGGCTTCCTGGGGGTCTCTTGGAGGGGGCCTGGGGCGTGCCCCCTCCCCCTTCTGTCCGTTCTCCCTTTGTTCCCCTCCTTGTTCTCCTCGCCCTCCCAGTCTTCCTCCTCCTCGTGCTCCTCGTCTCCCTCCTCTCTCTTCGCCTTCTTCCCATTCAGTGCTGTGCACTCTCTCCCCGTCATGGCATTTCATTCATTCATTCCTCGTCTCCCCTCCTCGTCGGCCCCCCTCCCAACCTCCACCTCCGCCCCTGCTCGTCGCCCCCCCTCGTCCCTTGTCCTCGTCCCTCCTCCCTCACCCCCTCCTTGCCCTATCCTGCCCGCCTCCTCTCAGGAGGGGAAAAAACACGCAGACACAGTTAATCGTACCCCCCAGAAAACATGGGAAAACATGGGAAGTGGGGGGGAGGACAAGAACCCAGAAAATATGGGAAAATATTGGGGATCCTGTTATTTGCGTGTGTATATTTATTTGTGTGTCCCAGGGCCCCTTCATCCTCCCTCGCCCCTCCCCCCTCCCCCCCCTGGCGCCCTCCCCGCCCCCCTCGAGGTTTGGCCTCTGCGCGCGCGGCGTCCACTGGCTGGCCACCCGGGCCTGCGACGCCCGGGCGCGCTCCGCCTTCGAGGGCGTGCGCCCCCTGGACGGCTGGGGCCGGGGCCCCTACTGGAAGCGGCTGGGCGACGCCCTGCGGCCGCGGCGGATCCTCCTCTCGGGGGAGCGTAAGACCCGGGTTTGCCAGGACTCGGGTTCGCCATCGGTTTTTGACGACCGCGCTTCGGATTTTGACGAGGAGGAGTTTCGTGGGATGTCTGCAGCGGGAGGCCTCGTCAAAATGCAGGCTCGGCCTCGTTTTTTTTTGACGACCTCGTCGGGGATTTCCGAGTCCCCTGTACCCAGGACTTACGTCCCCCTGATCCTCTAGGGGGCCACATGCGAACCCTACCCCTACCCCCCACGATTTCTGAGGGGGGGGGGGTTCACTTCGATCGGGAGCTCCCCAGCGAAGTGAACCCCCCCCTCCCCCTCGGAAATCGTGGGGGGCAGGGGTAGGGTTCGCACGTGGCCCCCCTCCTCCTCACGCACCGCGGGGCGCCGCCCGACGGCACGCTGCTGCTGGGCTGCGCCCTGCGATCCGACCTGACGTGGCTCCTCGGAGGAGGAGGAGAGGCACCGGTGCCGCTGCCCTCTGCTCCTCTCCTCCTTCTCCTCCTCCTCCTCCTCCTCCTCCTCCTCCTTCTCCTCCTCCTCCTCCTCCTCCTCCTCCTCCTCCTCCTCCTCCTCCCCCACCCCTGGACTCCTGTTGGGCCTCCCGGGTGGCCCTCGCCCCCACCGCTGGACTCGCCTCGAGATCCCATGGTCAGGACGCGCCCCGGGAGGGGGCCCAGGAGGTAGCAGTGTCCGTGCCTTGTGGTTTCCCCAGGTTCCTCGAGTTCGAGATGGCGGTCGCCAAGGCGCCGAACGGCACGCCCTGTGTGGGCCTGGTGGATGCCCGCGCCCAGGTGCCCCACGGGTGCCTCGAGGCCGGGCACGTGCCCCGAGACATGAGCCGCGGGGGCGCGCGGGAGGGCGAGCTGGCGGTGTCCTTCAGCCCAGAGACGGGCAGGGTGTTCGCCAGCAGCCTCATGCAGACCAGGCCAGAGCCTCGCCCATTTTGCTGCTGCGCGGCGACCCTGAACTGGGCCAGGTTTGGCGACTCGTCCGCGGCGTGGAACAAGCCAGTCAAGGCAGGCCTGTTGATCAAGGACAGGCAGTTGATTTTCTACCGGGGGAACATTGAAGGGCTATGGCGGTCCAGCGGCGTGATTCTGGATGGTTTGCCAGATGAGGTAATCCCAGCATTGTTCCTCTCGTCATTCGTTGGCTTCGCGAGGGTCGGATTTCTAAATTTGTGGCCGTCGCCGCCCGAAGTTGCATGCATTCATTGCGATCAGCATGGCCATGGCCTGAAGAGCGACTGGTGCGCCTGTCCGTCGTCAGTCAAGTAGTTAGCAGTCCGGTTGCCCTCCAGGGCGGAGGACACATTGGGGCAACAACTGGGAGCTCAATTCGGTGGTTGTCGAGGGTGTGGCAGTGATCAGAAAGAGAGAGAGAGAGACAGTTGTCATTGCAGGTCGGAGATCGGGCAATCCAGGATTCAGAATGGGTGCAGCTGAGCGTGATGTCAGGCGTCCATCTGAGCCATGATTTTCGCGATGCTGCTGCGGCAGAGGCGCAGCTGGTGTCCGAGCGATGCTGCCAGAGGTATCTGCGGTATGAAGAGGGGTGTACGAAGCAATTGAGATGATTGGAGTTGTTTTTTCATTTGGTAGTGTAGTTTGTACGAAGAATTCAATGACGCATTGCTGTGGACACTCAGCCAATGCGAGGCGCGCAATCGCACCGTGGGGCGAGTGTGGAATTCAAGTCGCCCAGGAAGCCAAGGTGCCTCGCCTGGCGCTTTTTGTGAGCCGCGCTTGCGTGCGCGATCATCGCGCACCAGTCGGAAGGGGAAATGTTTCGCCGTATAGTTCCCCTAAGCCAGGTTCCAGAGGTGGGGTCGGGCGATCTGGACCGCATGCGCATGCACTCATCAAGGAACGGGGTCCCGAGAGAATCAGGTGCTCTGGACCCCAAGGTTTCCCCAGGGACCAGCCTTTCAAATCTGGACTCGTTTCTTGACGACCCGGGGGGGCTGCAGGATGGCCGATGGAGGGCCCGAAAAACTATGTCAGCCAGCGTGGACACAACATAGCGATTTCCTGTAATGTCTGCGGTGCTACCTGGGTGGTACAATCAATGTGGTGCAGTCTAGGTGGTGCAGTCCATGTAGTGTAGTCTATGGGGTGGAACGTCAAACAATACGAAGCAACGCAGAGCAAGGCAACGCAATGCAGAGTCATGCAATGCTTTGCAAACCAATGCAACTAAAGCAACGCAGTGCAACTCAGAACAAGTCAATGCGAATCAATTCAATATAATGCAACACAATAATACAAATCAATGCTGATCAGTTTCAAGCAATGCCACGCTTTCCCAATCAATGCAAAGCATTGCGAATCAATGCAACGCAATGCAATGCAATGCACTCGATGCAAAGCAATGCAATGTAGCGCATTGCAAAGCAATGCATCATAATGCAAACCACTGCACAGCATTTCAAAGCAATAGCCAACCATGCAACAATGTACAGCAATGGGGCGCACAAGAAAACAACGCAACGCATTGCAAGCACCGCAACACCATGCAGCGCCATGCAAAGCAATGCAATACAATGCATCGCAATTCAACGCAATGCAACGCAACGCGGCGCAATGCAAGGCAAAGCGAGGCACTGCATCGCAAAACAATGCAAAGCAAAGCAATGGCACGCAATGCAAGGCAAAGCAATGCGGATCAACTCAACAGAATTCGAAGCAATTCAGAGCAATGAAAAGCAAGGCAATGCAATGCAACACAAGGCAACTCGAAGCAATCCAGCGCAATGTCACCCAGTGCAGAGCAGTGCAAAGCACTACAGATGAATCCACACCGATGCGGTGCCGTGCAGTGCAATCCAGAGCGATGCAGCGCAGTGCGGTGCCATTGCGCAGCAGCGCGAAGCAGTGGATTGCAAAAAAAACCAGGATTGCACGAAGGATCGCAAAAAGAAAACCCAGGATTGCACGAAGGATTGCAAAACAAAAACAGGAGTGCAAAACACCCAGGTTTTTTTTGTTTTGGCAATCCTTCGAAGCAGTGCGGAGCAGTGCGAGGCAAAGGCGGTGCAGAAAGCAGCGCGCGCGGCTGCAGAGCTCCAGCCTCGGCGAGCCCCCCCCTCACGCGCAGGACACCGACCCTTCGCCGGAGTGACCTTTGGTGCGGGATCATCGGGCTCCCCCCCGATCGCCGAGCACGATGCGATGTAAGTGGGTCACGCCCTCGGGTTCGGCTCCCTCACGCCCCCAAAAGCTGCGCACCAAAGGTCACCCTTGCCCAGGGTCACTCTTACGTCTAGCCGATCTTTGAGTGCAAGCATTACGTCGGGCCTGTCCCCCTACAGGGGGATTGTCGACGAAAGAACAAAAGATACCCCAGACATGCTCCAAAAAGGTCAACAAATGCTCCAAAAATAGTCCCCGGACTATTTTTGGATTTTTTTTGGATTATTGTTGGGATATTGTTTTAATTTTTTCGTCGAAAATCCCCCTGTAGTGGGACAGGCCCGACTTAATGCAAGCACTGTTTTTGGGGCATGGAGCTTCTGAAGGCAGAGGCCCCGTAGTGAGAGCCAGAAGGTTGGGCCCTGGACGGGCGGGGCACGATCCGATAAACACCCGTGCAGCCTGCGCGCCCGATGCAAAGGAGGCGCTCGCGACGAGTGCCCAGGGCCTCCGGCAGGCCCACCCCCTCCTGGGGGCCCGCTCCCATCGTGCTGCAGCCACGCGCAGAGAGGGTGGTGGGGGGAAGGGGTGAGGGCTCTCCTTAGGAGCACCCCCTGCTTCTTCGAGGGCGCGGACCCTCTCTTCAGACGTGAGGCCGGCGCCTTCCAGGGAGCAGCCTCCTTGCGAGAAGCCCTCCCCCCCTCCCCCCAACCCCCTGCACTTGGCATCGCTCGGACGCGTGCATGTTTCCTTCGGCGAGGACCATCGAGGAGCATCCTCGATCCTTTGGCGAAAAAGCCACGCACGAAACCGAAAAAAAAAAAACAGGGAAGGGACGTCCGAGCGATGGCCAGTTGTGCGCGCCGCCAATGGCTGAAGCGTGCGCCTGCGGCAGTGCGGAGAGCGCCTGCCGGCCGTGCTGAGTCTAGTGTCGGGCGCGGGAGGCCGCGCCTCCCTCGCGGGGGGCGCCGCGTCTTAAGTCGGGCGTGTCCCCCTGCAGGGAGATTTTCGACGAAGAAAAAACATACCCCAAACATATACCAAAAAGGCAAACAAAAATGCAAAACAAAGTCCCAAGACTATGTTTGGATTACTGTTTGAAACTATGTTTGGGGTATTTTTTTTCGTCGGACATCCCCCTGTAGGGGGACAGGCCCGACTTAAGCCTCGTCCCCCCTTCTTCTCTCTCTCCGGCGGGGCTGCGCGCGCGCCTGTCCGGGGTCAGGTGCTCCGGGGGCGGCAGAGGGGGGGGTGATGACCTAGGGGGGGGGGGGGGGCGGATGTCGTGGCGACGGCCATGATGTTCCCCCAGAATTCATGGCGCCTCTTCTTGTTTCAATGCGTCCCCGCCTCCCCCCTCTGGGCCGCGCACGTGCCGCCATGATTGGTGCCCCCCCTCTTGGACGCCCCCCTCTCGGCCGCCCCGCTGGACGGTGGCCCCCACCCGTCACACTCCGGTGCCAGGACAGAAGAAAGTGTCCACGCCGACGGTGCGAAGCTAATCGGGCATGATGGCAAGGAAACATTGCCAAATACATGTGGCTCGCCCTCCCCCCTCACCCCCAGGCCCAAAGTTGACGTGCCCATACTATTTCCCCCGCGCGCCGCTTCCCATCCAACCCCGTCAACTTTGGGTGGGGGGGGGGTGTCGGCGGGGGCTGCGGATATTTGTTCGACGCAGCTCGATGTGGCGTCATCGTGGCGCGATGGGTGTGGGCACTTTTTGTCCACCCACCGTCTCTCTGCCCTGGCGAGCCGCTGGATGCAGCCAGAGGGCCTGGGGTCAGAATGATCTAGACTTCGGTCGGGCCTGTCCCCCTTACAGGGGGATTTTCGACGAGAAATAAAGGATACCCCCTAAATGCCTCAAAGAGGTCCAAAAATAGCCAAAAAGTAGTCCACCGACTATTTTTGGATTATGTTTGGTTTTGTTTGGGGGTATTTTTTATTTTTCGTCGAAGGTCCCCCTGTAGGGGGACACGCCCGACCTGAGTCTAGGCCTCTCCGATGGGGTCAGAGTGCAGTGCCGTTTTGAAGTCATGTTCCGCGTGCGGACCATGTATTAAAAAGTGCAGGGTTTTTAGTGTTAAAACCAACGATGAGTTCATGCATCAATTTATCCAGAAGTTAATCATGTATTAAAAATCCTCCTCCAGATTTCGTAATAAAGGGAGGGGGGTCTCATTTCGGGGGGGGGGGTCTCTTCCAGGCTATCTTGGAGGGCCTGGGGGGTCTGGGGACGATGTTGTGGAGGGTTCTCCCACGGGGGAGGTCTGAAATGGCCTGTCTTGGAGGGTCCAGACCCCCTCCCTTTTTATTACGAAATCTGGGGTATACTTTGAAAACATCCTATGTATTAAACAAAAAACTGCCCTGAAGACGGGGTCGGGGGTCGGAGGGCCGCCGCTGCCTCGCCGCGGCCTCGCCGCTGCGGCTCCATATGCAGAGAGGTCGACGTTCTCCACGCCGCGGCGCCGCCGGGGCCTCGCCGAGGCCTCTCGGCGAGGCCTCGGCGATGCGTCGACGATGCACTGACGATGCCTTGGCATCGCTCGGGGGCTATTTTTGGTGTATTTTTTGGCCTTCTCGGGGTATGTTTGGGGTACTCTTTATTTTTCGTCGAAAATCCCCCCTGTAGGGGGCACGCCCGACACAGTGCGAGGACAGAAAGTGTCCACGCCGACGGTGCGAAGACAGCCGGGCATGATGGCAAGGACACGTTGCAAAATACGTGTGGCTCGCCCTCCCCCCTCACCCTTGGCATCGCTCGGACGTGTGCATGTTTCCTTCGGCGAGGACCATCGGGGAGTATTCTCGATCATCTGGCGAAAAAGCTTGAAGGTCGCTGGGGGGGGCAGCGTGGTTTCCAGGGCCAGATCCCCGTACGCTCGGCGGGCGCGCTTGATCGGTCAACAGATATCCTCACCGCCGCCCTTTGCGAGAAGCTCTGATTTCAGGTTTGCTCTTGCCCACGATTGGGCTGCTCATGCTTGGTCTTGCCCTACAAAAGCATTGCCTTCTCCCCCGTCGCCCCAGAAACACAGACCGCGTTCGCTGCCCCTCAGCGAGCTTCAAGGAAAAAACACGCACGAAACCGAACAAAAACACAGGGAATGGACGTCCGAGCGATGGCGAGATGCGGCGCGATCCTCCGACACCATGTCTTCGGACCCCATCTAGGAGGCCTAGAAATCATGGTCACCTCTCGGGCACTTGGCCGCCGTGTTCCAGACCGTGCGTGTTGACACGCTGTGTGTGTTGGCTCGGCACGTGTGTTGGTCCACGTTTTGGCGAACGTGTCATGCCAGGCGTGCGTTTTCAATCTGCGTGTTGGGCTCCGTGTCAGCAGGCTACGAGTTGCGTGATGCGTATCGGGGCGGCTGAGCGCTGGCACGATTGACCACCCTGTGTGGGAGCTTGGGCAAAGCTGGAACTCTCTGTCAGAGCTGGGCATAGCCGACCGGCCAGCGGCAGAGTCAGACGGATGCGAGGTGAAAATTGGTTGGCGAGCAAGCGAAACGCCTTTTCGGTTCAACGCTGTCTGGAAAGGCCGCGGAGGGTGGAAAATGCCGTGCACGTAATTTTGCTTGGGTCTGAAGAAGATGAGCCTATTTCGGTTCCCGGGGCCCTCACAGATCGATCGGGCTCGGAGAGCGCCGCAGGAAGGTTGGGTTCGGGGTGCCGCGATGCTGCACTATTTCCGCGACGTCGGATGTCAGGGAGGCGTCCCCGAGGGAATCGGGTATAAGCAGGTCTTAGACCCCGGGGCTTTCCCCAGGTCCAGCTCTGCACCCTGGGCCGGTCGCTCTTTGACGGCGCGCGGAGGGCACGCGGAGCTGAGACGACGAACAGGCCTCCCTCCGGGGGACCTGTTCTTCCCCGGGGCCCGTTGCCAGAGGTCCGATGCCCTGGCTCAGCGCAAGGTCCACGGATCTCCCGAGCCAAGGGGCCTGTTCTTCTCGTGACCCGCTCCGAGAGGTCTGATGTCCCGCTGGCGGGCGATCAATCTAGGGCCCCCGGATCTCCCGACCCCTTCCCCGGGGTCGGTATCTTGATCCTGGCCGTTCTACAGCCCTCGTGCTACCATAATTAGGGCACGCACAGTGGGGGCTTTTCTAGCCACGGCGTGCCTGGGCCACAAAAAACAGGTTCCACAACATAGACCTGAGGAGCGGCCCGAAACCTCGAGCCTCCCATGAGCCCGAAGCGGTCCTTATCTTGGCATCGCGCGGACGTGTGCATTTTTTCTCGGCTGGGGCCATCGAGAAGCATCCTCGACCATCGGGCCAGCAAAACACGCACGAAACCGAACAATGCACAGGGAAGGGACGTCCGAGCGATGGCGAGTTATTGCAGCGCCCTGACTGCAGGATGCCTTGTCCTGGGGCCCGAGCCCCCTGGAGGGCTCGGGCGTCGCGTATAATGGGGGGCGACCGATGGGGAGGGCGGCGCGGGCTGCAGGAAAGGGGGCCCTCAGGGACCCCACAGGAGTCCTCTATGGGCCCAGAAGGGGGGCCTCTATGGCCCAAAAGTGCACCTGTCTCCCCCTTAGTTTTACCTGGCATCGCTCGGACATGTGTATTTTCTTCTCGGCGAGGACCCTTCGAAGACCATCCTGGACCATCGAGCAAAAAAAACACACGAAACCGAACAATGCACGGGAAATGGACGTCCGAGCGACGGAAAGTAAATCGCCTCCCATGATGTCGCGCCCAAGGATTACCAGCCCAGAACATATCCCTATTCCTATAATTGGCATCGTTTGATCTCGATGCAGATCTTAGGGATTCCCTCAGCTTCCGAGGGCGCATCCCTGAGATTACATCACCTCTGGAAGTGCCAATCTTGGGATAGGGATCGGATCGAGGCGGGTGAAAGGAGGGCGACATGCCGGCGAGCAGCACGATGTCGCCCCGTCTTGCCCGAATTTTGCGCGACTTGGCGGCCGGGGGGCCCCCGGTTCACCACCCACCAAACCACCCCAACCCAACCCGAAGGCTCAGATTTACCCTCGATTTCCAGTGGGGAGGGGGGTCGGAAAACATCGAAAACACGTGGAACCCTTACCCCCCCCCAAACCCGAAATTCGGGTCTTCGGGTTGGGCTGGGGTGGTCTGGTAGGTCGTCACCGGTCGTGCCGAGCTCTCCCCTCGATCCTCTCTGCCGCCCCGGCGCGGCTCCCGCAGGCATGGACGCGGGCGCGCAGCCCGGCGGCAAGGCGCCCGCTTTTCTTCCGCGCGCCCCGGCCCGCCTGGCCTGCCCGGGGGCCCGGAGGAGGGAGCGGTCACAGCTGAAGGTCTTCATGCGGGTTTGTGTCCCCCTCCCCTCCTGTTCTCTCGGCGGGGAGTGGGGCTGGTCCTAAAATCGCCTCCTCCTCCTCCGCCTCCTCCTCCTCCTTCCCCTCCTCCTCTTTCTTCTCCTCCTCCTCCTCTTTCTCCCCCTCCTCCTCCTCCTTCTCCTCCTCCTCCTCCTCCTCCTCCTCCTCCTCCTCATTATCCTCCTCCCTCCTCCTCCTCTTTCTCCTCCTCCTCCTCCTCCTCCCCCTCCTCCTCCTCCTCCTCCTCCGCCCCTCCGGTGAGGCCTGGCACCTGTTTTCATGGTGTCAGTGCCGTGCACCCTCGGGGCACACTGTACACGGCCCTTATTTCGCAGGTTGGGCGGGGTGCAACCGGCCGATTTTTCTGGAACCGCGGGCGCTGGGGCTTGGGGTGGGCGTTGCGAAACCTGTATCGACGGGTCTCCCGTCGCTGGGTGTAGCAGGGCCCCAGTCTCAGCCTGGCCCTGCTGGTGAAGGCGGGTAGCGGCGCCTGTGCGGTCATTTCATTGTGATCTGACCCTCAGGGATCGGAATTTCCTCGGGAGGCAGTGGCTTGCGCCACGTGAGTCCCAAGGGGCCTTGTGCCCACCCAGGGCTGGGGAGCTTGTGCTCCTGAGTATGCCGAGTTTGCTGTTCCGACTGGGATGCCTTTGGCTCCCAAAGCGCCATGTCGGAACCGCTGGGCCGCGAGTCTTCACAGGCGACGTGGGCACCCCCTTATGACTTTCCTGCGCAGCTGTTACTGCTTTCCGGGCGGTAGTTTGTTGGCTGGGCGTGTGCAATACACGTGTGGTCTTCGGGAGACCGACCCTGGGCGCCGGACTCCTCCTCCTCCTCCTCCTCCTCCTCCTCCTCCTCCTCCTCCTCCCTGTTTTTCTCCACCTCTTTCTCCTCCTCTTCCTCCTCCTCCTCCTCCTCCTCCTCCTCCTCCTCCTCCTCCTCCTCCTCTCGCTACACGGTGGCGAGGTGACGTGGATTCACCCGCTGATGTCCTTGCACCCTTGAACCTTCGCTTCCTCCTCGTCCTCCTCGTCCTCCTCGTCCTCCTCGTCCTCGTCCTCCTCCTCCTCCTCCTCCTCCTCCTCCTCCTCCTCCCCCTCCACCTCCTTCCCCGCGTCCTCCTCGTAGCCTTCGTCGTCGTTGTTGCTCGGCGGGTGCCGCGGAAAAATCAGTTACCCCCTACTGGCGGGGCCCAAGTCCTTCAATGAGGCCGCCGATCTAAAGACCTTTCAGGGTTACCGATGCCGCTACCCTGTGCCCGTGTGTTCCCGTTTTTCGGCTTCCTGGGAGGCCACTGCCGCCACCGCTGCGTCCCCTTCGAAATCCGGGTCAGAACGCACCCTGGTGGAGGTCCGGGGAGCGGCTGCAAGGCGGGGATCGAGGCGCCCGTTTTCCCAGCCGGGCGCCCGGCCTGCCTGGGGGCGGCGCAGTCTCGGCGCGCACGCGATCCCTTGAGATCCTGGCGTCTCAGCGCTGCGTCGAGCCGGGCGTCGTCGCCGCGTTGCGGGCCCCAGGGCCAGCGCAGATCGATCGGGGTCGAGGAGCGGCGCAGGAGGACGGGGTCCAGGGCTCCGGTCCAAATCGCCTATAGGATGCGACGTCGGATCTCAAAGTCTCCGGACTGCAGGCGCCCCAACTCGGGTCATGGGTTTGCCTTGGGGGGGCGCCCTCGTCGCCGCGGCGGGCCGCAGCTCGGGAAACGGGTGGGTACGGACCCCGGGGGAGGGGGGGCGGGGGCTGATCTTGAGCTGCCGCTGTCCCAGCGCGGCCTGTTCGGGCCACGCAAGCCCCCCAAGGTCTCGAGCTCAATGGCACCCTGTTCGGCAAAAAGCCCCGGCCAGCTTTCGCTTTGGCATCCAGCGAAGCCCCGTGGCGAGAGGCAGGAGAGGGGAGAAGAGGAGAGACTCTCCTCCTCTCCCCTTTCCTGCGGATGCAGCGGGGGCGGGGAGGAAGCGGAGCGGGGGAAGCGGTTGGGGGAAGCAGAGGAAGCGGGGGAAGGAGGAGGGGGAAAACTGGGGAAGGCCGGGGAAACGGGGGGAAGCAGGGGGAAGCGGGGAAAGGAAGGGGAGAGGGGGGGGGGAAGGGGAGGAAGGGAAAGGAGGAGGGAAGCGGTGGAAGGACGGGGGTGGAGGGAGGCGCCGAGGCGTGCCCCGCCCCGCCACACCCGGAGCGCGATTGTGGGGGCTCGTGCGCCGAAGCAGGTTCGCGCAGTTCACGGTGGGTGGCCACGACGGGTCACCGACTTCGAGGGGCCACCATCTCTCACAGAGCATGATGCGATACAACCCTTCAAGGCGGAGGTGTGAGGATAAGGAAGGAATGGCGGATCGGCAGGAGGGCTGGAGGAGAGGAGGGAAGGAGATGGCCGGAGGGATGGGGACGGACGGGGGAGGAAAAAGGGGGGGG